TATGGACAACTCAACGAATCAAGGGTCCGGTATCACCCACGCATGTAGGAATAAAACATGGTCCACGTGACCAAGACTGGCGGAATTCCTCCAGTTTTCCGGAAATAGCCGAAGTATTCCACAGTCTCCTGTCTGTATATCGGCATGTTCGGATGGTATTATTCGGTTATTTCCGGCCGGGTAGGTGGGCTAGCCTAGTGTTGAACGTAAACTCGATGCCTGTCCTAAGATTTTTTTATCAACAGTCGTCATGGAATCTTTGGGTAGGGAACCAGACTAGTGGCTTGTTGGCTACAACCTGAACAAATGCGACTTGGCTACCACCATCACCAACACGAAACGGTTGGCCAGCAGAAGCATCAGCCACTTTTAAACGACTCTGTGAACTGCGGGACGAAACTGTGTGGCCTGCTGGCCAAGGCAAAGACGCTAAAGCGAGACTCCCCACAATCATGGGGGGGGGGACTTGTCCCACTTTTGCTACCTCGTTCCCATGCGTATACGATCTTGCCGCGCCATGTTGGTTCCTACAATGCATGCTTGTGCGATCTAGTGAAAGAATGCGCATGCAGCCCATGGAGTCAAGGTTGATAATTTTGACGGGAGTGGGAGATATTTGCTGTTATTGATCCCAACCGTTTTTGCGATGAGCTGGGAGGATGAAAGAAAATGGACTTTCAATACCTGAAGTCATGGACCTGTGATCGTCCTGGCGGTACTTTATTGTCACCCTTTTTGTTTGGGAGATAACTTGGAAAACTTTTGCAATCGATCTCGTCTAGCTATATAAAGGGATCCGCTCCCGTCCATCCTGCAACTGACACAATAAAATAATATCCCATCAGGACGTGACGGTGCCAGCCCCACCACGGCGAAACACATCAAATAAGAAAACAGTGGACCAATCCTTTGTGTGAAAGTCTGATAAAAAAAATCACACAGCCACAAAAGCTCCGACTGTAGGCCTAAGTCTCACTCATGCCAAATGTAACATGTTACATACATTTATACGTTAATGCCTCAATTCAACATGCAGCGAGCTTTCGGAACTCTCGCGTAATCCGTCCAGCATGGGGATTTTACATTGGGCTGTCCTATCGCGTTCAATAAATTTGGGAAGAATAATTCTTAACTGACTCCACCTCATGTTGAAATTTTACCTTTGTCTTCCTCAACTAATATTTAGGAAAAGTCACCTGGGGATTGTTAAAAAACAAATTTCATCAACGACTTTTCACGTCCAGCGATTTCGTACCTAGGTCTCTTTGTTCATGCCCGTTTATTTTCAATCCCCGTGCTTACGTGTAGTCGATGGGTTCCATGTTCTGTTGATTTGACATAAAGCAGTTGTTGTCAGCAAAGTTTAAATCAAATACTGGAATCTTTCCTAAAAATACATTATTGCTTTAAGTTTGTTAAGGGAATAAAATTGTGCTTGGCCAGTCTTAAACGTGCTTAAACGAGAATGGACGCACTAACGCCCTCGCCTGCGGCTCGGGTGGGCGTTCGTTCTCCTGAGCAAGGTTGAAACCGGCCAAGCACATATTTATTCCCGTTCTAAATACCTTTTTATTCAGAGAGTCAAAAGAAGTCAACATATGATGGATTTCTAACGATATTGTTCTAAATTTTACTTTCATTTTCCCAAACACCCCCACCCATTTATGGTATATTCCTGTTGAAAGTTGTCCAATAGAATCCCCTTGTATGTGGACTTGGCGCGCGCGTGGCGCGTTCTACTTGTTGTATCGCACGCAGAATCCTGACCAACAGGGATGGAGTAAACCAGTGTCTCGTATCCGATATCCAGGTGCCAGCGCGTTTCACGCAGTGGGCAATTACGCATAGGGCAATTATAACTTTCTTAGCGGGCATTATCAAATGTTAATACACGGTCAAGTTGCACGTTGTTGAATGGGGTGACTGTCTAAGGTATTAATGAATACCGTACAAATAAAAAATACTTGTGAAATATTTTGACCAGTGATGGGTCAATTTTTAGCAAGACATTTCTCTTTTAGGTCAGGTAATTTTTCAGTTTCTCTAAATTGATATACTAGAAAATATTTTCCGAAGCCTTTTTCCAAGTTGGATTTTTAAAGAAATAACTGAACGAAACAATATTACAAATTCTCAAATCCATGCACTTTAGTTTTTCCTAACCAAAGGTTCCGGAAGCGCGCCGTCAGAGGTCAACTTTCAGGCTCTATAATGACTTTTCTCTTGGGGCCTATGTACGTAAACCTTTTTAAAAAGTCAATTCGAACCCCAAACTGTAATATGATTAATTCCGTCATCGTATGGATGAACACAAGGCAACACAGACTTGCCAAAAAGATTGAAAAGAAAAGCCATGAAAAAAGACTGATTAGACTTGTACGTTTTTGCATTCTCCTTGTATCCGGGGAGCCCCTGGAGTGACGTCATCATGACGTCCGTCTGGTCAAAGAGTTGTCAGCCTCTGAATAGAAATGTAGCTGGTTCTCTCCAGATGAGCGGACGATCGGACCTTTCCAGCTCGTGCAATGACGTCAGTGCATCTGTCTCTCTCTTTTTTTCGTGGGCCGTCGGCGACTAAAATTAGCATTTCGCATCCAAGGCGCGCGCAGCGGACAAGGCAAACGGGGTATGACGGCAGTGTGATGATGGAGACGGCGACGATGCTGAAACACGACGGTAATCACCGCGTATATGGCTATCCACCAAGGGTGGCAGGACTATAGAAAGACCTGCCCTCCTGCCTGGGGAAAAGATCGATCGTGGCAAAAATCCTGTGAATAATTAGTCGAATGACTATCAATGATGGTGCGTTTTTCTTAGATACTGTCAGTGGCACTGCATCGCTGTCCAGGTCGTGCATTTATTCACATGCGCGTCTTGGTCTTGGACACGAGCATGTGAAATAACTGAATAGGATAACCTAACAATGTAATAATTTCCCAAACCATTTTCAAATTTCTTTGTACCCCACACGATGCAACAATCAATTGGACCCAAATTTACTGTTGATGAAAGCAACATCTACTACGTACAATAAACTGGGAAAAAATCTAAATGATGCAAGCATGCATGCATGCACACCATGTATCCAGCATGTGGTTGTCTTTGCAGAGACCAGGCACCGGTGGCGTAAATTGTGCTGGGAGATGACGTAAGTAAAAAATGCCTGGCAACGGAAGTGTGAAATATAAGGTACACCATAATGACAACCGGGTAACTTTCGGTTCATCCACTGCCCACGTCAGCTAACGCCAGCAGGAAAGAAGAAACATGCAAATACTCTGGAATTCCATTTCTGCCAATTACGCAGCTCATGTGGGGTCATACTTCCTCGAGTCTGTAGCCACTTCCGCCGTCAACGGCGCATCGTATCGCAGTTTGTACTGCTTGTATGGCCGCCGCATGGTCGCATCGTGCCGTTGCATTGTCACATCGTCGCATTTTCAAAAAATCATGCAAATGAATTTCTGTTTCTTCGCCAGGAGCATGATTTTTATATTTAAAAAAATCATGATTTTATCAACCCTGTCATTAATGTGTAATCTGAAGCTGTCAACCTGTTCGTCGTGGCAAAAGAACTGCACCTTATAATGTGCAGATAATTATATGCACTGCACTAAGAGCAATCAACAGCGCCCTCCTGGCGAAGAAACGGAAATTCATTTACACGATTTTCTGAAAACGCGACGATTCGACAATGCGACGTCACGACGCGACTATGTGACGTTGGCGGTGTAAACGGCTAGATACCACGAATAAACGATGAGGACGTTTACGACGCGACAATGCGCCGTTCACAGCGAAATGGCTACAAACGCAAGGAAGATTGGCCCACATGCGCAACGGAATTGGCAGAAATGGAATTCCGTAAAAACGTTCGGGGAAAGGGGTGGAGCGACTGTATGCCTGGTGTGTGGGTACCGGGTCGGTTCAAAGTAACGTCGGCATTCGTGCTGGAATAACTTCGATCGTTATCGTGCGACGAAATTACTGAACGGCGACGCGAAGGCACCGATACGTCATTACACCAAAACTTTGTACACTTTTTAGGCGTGGATTGGGGTGGGGTGCCGACCCCCCTGCTCAGAGACAAAAGTAAACAAATGGAGAAAACAGTAAAAACTAACTAAAGTAAACTTTAAAACAAGATTGTTAAGTTTCATCATCATTTCTACTTGTCCACAAAAATGAGACATTAGAAAAAAAAAATCTCCGACCCGACTCACCCTCTAGAAAACTTTCTCCGTCTGTCCCTGCTATTCTCTACTGTGTACGCAAATGCACCCAGGCGTGTAGCATCACGTACGTACGGTATACCGTTAGTACGCCGTTGCGAAACTAACGATGAAGTTAGCATGTAGAAAGGAGATCCATGAGAACGGACGTCGTTTCCAAAAACAGTCCGGTGGTGAGTGAATGTTGATTGGTGGGTGGAGGCAGGGAGGAACATCTTTCAACCGTGTGACATTTTAATCCTCGGGAAATGAATACATCAGATTAGTTGAAGCCGATTCCATCATGTACCAAGCTATGAACTGCCGCTTTTAGTGCTTCGTTTTTACTTGAGCGAGGAATATCCCTGCTCAGCAAATTTTCCTGTATCCTTGCTGGTGGTCACCTGACATGTTTAGAAAATGTTCGTAATGTAAATCTGCGCGTGATGTCTTGCCTAAGCAGCGCAACAATAGCATGTACTTGCAAAATGGATGAACACAACATAACGTAAAGACAATACACGCCGATCACCTACCTAAACTGTTTATTTTCCAACAAAATATAATACACAAATGGCATCAACTTTAATAAACTTTTCGATTTCAATGTTTTCTGGAAAAAATTACATTGTGGGTAAACAAACAGCAATTTACTGGAAATGAGTTGGTTGACTGTTGTCACTGGAAGCACAGTCGCAAAAAGCAGCACTGTTCAGGAATCTACTTCCATACTTCACTCTCCCTGCAGAGATATTCTCCGTAAATTTTTCTTGACCAGGTCTGGACCCTAAAACAATCTTAGATTTGGCTCTGTTACAATTCAGAGAGACATTTGACTAATTACCGAGAATCAAAACGTATCAATTTGGAGTCTTAATGTAAGGTGGTGCGACAAAGACTGCCATGATGCATGTCGGACGAACACCGAATTTAGAAATTAATATGACGGGTTTTTGGGCACTCCGGGAAAAAGAAGAACTCAATTGACTACAATCTTTTGAGTGGATTCGCTCCGAACTTTCCATTGAGAAGTTTCACAGACAAAGTACCTGACGGATAAGGCCTACTCTGCTTTTAATGGGCGACTTCTAAGATGTCTAGCGGATCGGTCAGGTAGGACCGGTACGCTTGCCGTTAAGTCTACCAGTCACTCCTAGGCTTTTTTTTGGGCCCGCTCTCAATTTTTCGTCAAATTCATTAGTGTTAAGAACCCAATTAATGAAATTTTTTATCAAACAAATCACTGACGTAAACTTCACGTCAAATTTTTTTGATGAAAGAAGAACCATTGTTCTGTGACTTCCCTGTTTTCAAAACCACGGGCAGAATCCTGCATGAACGTCCAGTGATTACAATTTGAAACAATTTAACACAGATATTCTCCAATAAAAATAACAATAGATAGATAAATAAAAACAAACCAAACATTCTCCCCAAATCTGCAGTGTTTTATGGTTGGGTTCTGCCCGATCCGAAACTCTGATTTGAGAAATCTAAATTGGAGTTTATCTTCGTGGCAAGTTAATTTCCGAAAGTTTTCATTCTCGGAAAACTGGTCATAAAAATACCGCACCAGTTCAAGAACTTCGCGTCTTTTAAGTGTGTCTCAATAAAAAACGTTTAGACAATGGTATTTAAAAGACGTTGTAACCAATTTCTGGAACGCTTGATAAATATTCATTTATACATACATATACAAATGGTGCGACAAAAAATACACCTCTATTTACAACTGACACCTCCGATTACCATATTTAATACTTTTTTCTTCGGGTTTTCCCTTTTAACCTAAAACAAAACATTCAATTTACAACCATAAAAATAGCATCTTAATCTTCTTAAACCTGGCACAACCTCCAATGTTTCTTTTGGGTGTGCATTTCAGACAGTCACAGAGGGTGATGACAAGGACAGTGACAAACTAGTGCATCTTCACAATTACTCCACAGTGTCGGTATAGTGCTCACGCTTGTACTCGAGTACTTGGGTTTTTGGAACTCAAACTCGTACTCAAGAAAATGGAATCACACTCGCATCGGTGCTTGTAAGAAACATTTTCCATGAAATTCACTCATGCCAGAAAACTGATACTTGTTACCATGGAAACGTACTCGACTGCAACACCGCCCTTCCAGAAGACAGAAAATGTTTGCTTTGTCGTCAAATGAACATGCTGAAATGGTTACTCTTACAGAAAGTTACCAGTTTGTACCAATGCTGATATCACAGGAAATGCAAGTGGTGTAAAGTGGTTAGTGCAGCACGTTTTGCTGTTTTGACACTCACGTTTTGTTTGCTTTTTTTGGATTCCACGCAGATCCCTAAATAGGTAGGGGATTTGGAAGGAGCACATCCCTTCATTATCTTTTGGCACATGTAACTTTTTCAAGCTTTGAGAAAAACGATCAGGTTTGTGATCAGTGGCTCTGTGCTGCCCATTCACTGTGTGCCTCTCCTTGTATTCCTACTCTGGATCTGCCCACTCCAACTGTCTTTCTTTTCCTTATGACAAATGCATAAACAGGTGTCAACAAATCCAAGTAAGTAAGGTTTCCAGAATTCTGAAAATAAACTTTGTTACAACAATTTTAAGATACAGAAACATCACATCTCTGACAAACTTGGAAGATATTTCTTAATAAAATCATGAAGAGCTTTCACTTTCGCATAGAAAAACAGCAACTACATAAATACACGTGTATGTATACAGATCAAGATAGGCCTATATATCATTTGCCACATTACTATATAGCACCAATGCCCACAAGCATCCGGGTGGGTTCTCTTAACTCCTTAATGTTACATAATTCCTTGTCATTGTGTTCAGTTTCATTTGCACCAACCATTTTATAGTTTTTGCACTTTTTGGCCCAAAACTGTAATGCTACAAAAGACGGTTTTGTAAGATGTCTGGTCTTTACCATGAACAACTTATGATTTGAGCATTCGGTGGGAGGAGTGGGTAGAGTGCTGTTTCCATGGTGACCTGACATCAGAAATTGTGCACTTCTTTAAGTCTCTGAATCCCACTTCCAGCTGAGTGGGTTTCAGCTGTCTAAATGTATTTAAGCACCCATATTTGTCATGACCTGGCATGTTTAAAAATTGCATATCTTTGGGTACGTTATTTATCTAAATTGATTTCCCATCCCCCAGAAGTAGATTAAAAAAATGTCCTCCCAAAAATCGGAGAAAACAATGGTTGTGTAAAAGAAAGGAAAGGGCCCCAGACAGAATCAACAAAACATATTACAATTTCAGGAGAAGACGATGTGGTACCTCTTCACATTTCAGATCATACAATCGCGTCCAAAACACAAGATCAAACGGCTAACTAGGTAATTCAACTAATGCACGGCTTTTTTTTCCGGGCCACAGCTAATTGTATCATTTTCGCAGCAGAGACAGGACATCACAATAACAATAATTAAAACATCAGTTCGGAAACACCTTTGCTGTCAGAGCAACGTGTCGGAAGTCCCCCTCAAAACCCAAGTTTTCGGTGAACAACACCAGAGCTATGACAAACGGTTTCATTCGTGAGTTTGTTACGCATTGGCCAATCACACTGCGCGAAATCTGTCAACCCTTTCCAAATGTGCATTGGGTAAACAGACTTCGCGCATTGTGAGTGGTCAATGCGTTGCAGACTCTTGGAGGCGCCCTATTGTGAATCAAATAAACACACCATTCTCTCAGGACTGTCCACCCCACGGTCTACACCTGCAATCTCTGGGGACACTCAAAGACGAGGCAACCTTAAAAGAGTCCACAGAGACGAGTAGTCATGTTGAAGCGAAGTCACTGAGCTTAGCGCTGAAGGAATATTCTCTGGATTGCTGTGAGAGTGAAATGCCGCTTCAAAGGGAGACACCCGTGCGTAGGGTGACCAGCACCCTTGAGTGCTCTGGCTCGCAGTCGGGGAATGGAACAGTATCATATCTGGAATAACTCTCTTCCACTTCTGCTGTTTAGATGTGGAAACTACGAGGGCAGTGTACACAAGGGCTATAACAGTCATAAGCAGAGTTTAGAGCGAAGGGGAATATCCCCATAAACTGAGACAAATTTGTTTTCTTTAAAAAAGTCGCAGAGACAACAAAGAACCAAACGTCATACTCTCACCTTCCCTGATCCTTTGAAATCCTAAAAGAGAGTTTGGCTGGATTTTGAGGGCATGGAACAAGCAGAATTGTTTTGTAACACAGTGGCAAGTTCAGAGGATTCCGAAGGCTCCAAGCTAGAATGACTTCTGACTTTGTATCAATGCACTGACTCTAAATGAGGCATACAGCCCATCAAAACAATGAAGCCCATGTGAGCCAGAGGAAACCACTCTGAGCCAAACGCAAGAAGCCATACACATTAGAAGTGAACACCGCGTAGTGCCCTTTTAGTACGGAATCAACAGGTAATTGAGTCACTAAGAATTTTTGGAGGACCTCCTTGCTTTAAAAAGCAAACAAGAAATGTAAGTACGACGTGACAGATTGTAAAAAACAAAAACCAAAAATGTTGGTCCACAAAAAGCCTTGTTTCTGAATAGGCGACAGTATCGGAATGAGTCAATTTTGGACACAGCTGAATAGGCAAATTCGCTTTTCATTTAAAAATCTTTAAAACTTTCAGGCCTGACACAAAAGATTGGAAATGCGTAAATCAAATATCTGTAAACAGGCAACATACAGCGTGATTTGTTATGACCCTTCAGAATCTGTCTAACCCCACAGTTGGTGGGAGGGCGTTCTTCACTGGTCAGTGCCTGCTCGGATGATGCTGTAATTCGGAATGATTGCATACAAACAAGGACCCAACTTACTGTTTCCACCCTGCTGAATACTGTATTATGAAGACTCCATGCACCACAAGGTCCCCTGCTGCTGCAATGGCGTATATCCGCCAATCTAGCCGATTTGGGTGGCGTGAGGCAACTGAACGAAGGCCATCATACGTGGGTGACCTCGTCCGGGTTCCACTCTGACTCGGAGTCAGTGTCTGAGATGTCATCGGTGTCACTGTGGTCGCTGCCTGTGCCAGACGACTGACCACTGTCCGCCGATGTCCGTCTCGCTTTGTCGCTGACCACGTCGCTAAATACACACGTAACCTGAAGATATACCATAAAATAAGGGTAAATACAATAAAGACTTTGAACTGGAGTGACTGTTAACTGGGATTATGGGAAATATATGCCACAACATAATGCATAATTGCTTAATCGGTCCTGGTATCTCCATCATCTATGCTGTGTATAAATGCATACATGTACGCTTGTGCTCAGTGCTGTACTTTTGACTTGTGCGGCAGTCCACAGTTCAAAAATATGTGACCCACTCTGTGAAAATGAGTCTTAAGTCGTCAGAGCCACTTTGGAGTAAAAAGACTTTTCGAATAATTTTGCATATTGTAAATCAATAGGAACCCACGGCATTTTCACCAATAGAGTATCCACTTTCATCAGGATGCCAAATTGAGTGATACATCAAAACCAAAAACTCAATTTGCTCTTTCAAATACAAATAAAAACTCAAAAAGTGGTGACTTATGACTCATTTTCGCAGAGTGGGTCACACGTGATTCAATCTTGGAACCGTGCAAAAGTCAAGCCACAAGGGAAGTTTGTCTCGGTCTGAATTTCAACACCGTCTCATTTTGAATCCTGTTATGCATCAAACATCCCCGGGCAGGTCTTTCGTGCGTAATGGAAAACTACCTTCCCCACAATTGAGAAATTTGCTGCAGTAAACCTTAAGAATGCAGCTGCAGCGTACAGGCAGAGGCAGCCGGTAAACTATTGGAAACATGAGATTTCTCGTTCTGAAAATCTGACATGAATATGTAAACTGTATCAATTTGGAGCACCATTTTTTTCCCTGGTCCAGTATAACCCATGTACGTGTAGCTAATCTCCATTTATGAGAGTCCAAGATACATTGATACATTCACACGCTGCCTTTCTCGCGTGCAAATCCTTTCCAAGTGACACTGGTCACCAGCAGGACAAAATTGAATTATACAAACCATCATATTTTTGTATATATTGCACTACATGTACGTTCAGCCGTAATCTCTTGGATGGTAACCTCCGAACACTGGCCTCTCGACCGAGCGCGTGAACCACAACAGACAGCATAGGAACGGGCTGTACAACTTCAAGATTTTTAAAACTGAATGCCAAGTTTTAACCTCAACAGTACCGGGCGTTGATTGACTGGCACTGTCTGAAACACGATGGAAGGCGCACAATCACACTACGATTAACCCAAACAGTACCGGGCGTTGATTGGCTTAGAGTACTCACTACTACAAAATACTATGTAACACTCTGAGCCTGAAGGACCTAGCGCTACAAATTACTATTTCTGGCTAGGTTTATTCCGTTGTTACTCGTACAGAGAACAATGAAACCATGCATTCATGGTGCCACAGCAATGTATGGTACATTGTCTTCTCTAGTGTATTTTATGGCTTCAGAGAATAATAATGCCATGTCCTCTTACAAGCGACAGGGCTGAGTACTACATTTTACTACTAAGTAGTACTCTGTAGCATTCGGGACTGTTAGGGTTAATGAATCATTTTGCAACAATCTAAATATATATCACACTTTAGAGCCCGAGTTTACAGGATATTCAATATCCATCTTGAAACAAAGAGGCCAAAGCTTTGCTTATAGACCTTTATCATGATGCTACCACGTTTGTCTTGTTCCCTATAGACCCACTGGTAAGAGTAATACACCTTCACATACTGATAAAAGGCTGGGGCTTCCAGCCTCTGATTTGTTACATTAGTTTGAATGGTAGAAAAGCAAGATGGCTGCCCCTAGGTAGAGCCTGTCAATGCTAACTGCTCCATGCAATGGAATTCAGTAAACCGCAGGCACCAGTCCCACTCACCCGGAAATTTGGGGAGAAAGACTTGTTGGTTTTGTCCTTGTTGGCCTTGTCCAGTTCGTCCTTCTTGAGAGAGAGGACCATGGTGTGGCGGCACCCTGGCAGGTTGCACTCCTCGGGCAGATGCTGACTCAGGCCGTTGGTCTCGGCCACGTTCTTGCAGCTCGGCACGAAGAAGGTGTTGAACCAGAAGTGGAACAACTTGTCCTGGCACAAGCGGGCACAAATGCGGAGAGTGTGAGTTAAACATTGTTGATTGTGACTGATGTCATTTTTCTTTTGAGCAGATTGGTGCTAACACGAATAATGATACGCTTTAATACGATACGAAAAATCCAATCCCAAATCTGAGTGCGGCAACGATAAATCTTTCGTCGAGGACACATTGAATGCGTCAGAGCCTGTGGAAATTGCTGGGCATCGTACAACTTTGGACAATGAAGCACATGCGGCACTCCAACATGGCTGGTTGCCAACACTCTTTGGGACAGAATTTCCAGGCAGTGGCCTCATGACCGAGCAGGGGAGATACCTTGAACTGACCATTACCCTAACCCTCCTCAATCCTCCAAAATCCTTTGGGAGGTTTTGGAGGATTCTGGAGGATTGAGGGTGAATGGCAAAAGTGCATGGCTGATTGCGAAGGATGCCATGAGTGAACGTCGTAGGTTAGACCTTGAGTTGCTCCATCTTACATCGGCTTGTGCACAAATAAGGGCTGTCTTTTTGTCGATTCTGCCGGACTAATTTTGTTCTTCGCTGATTCCTGATTGTTTATGTTCATAGCAATAAGGAAGCAAATCTCTTTCTCTGAAACGTTTTCAGTGAATAAATTATGGGTTCACAGTTTAAACAGCCAAAACCTGTGCAATGAACTATGTCTTCCCTAGTGATCATGGTAACAGCACCCTCAGTTGTCCAGGAATGCATGAATATTTTTAAAAGGAAAAAAAAAATATATATTTTTCAATACGTTTAACCACACAGAAATCTAAGAGTTTCCATACGTTGAAGAAGAGTAACAAGTTGCCAAAAAAATTGTGTCAAAGAAAAATTCATTGCGGCTACACTTTAAGTGAGATGACGGGGAGCTCCTCTAACCTTCTTGATCATGTTGGTCCTGTGGTGGAATTCAATCTTGATGTCGCCACAGACCGGCACAGGCTGGGGAAGGCTGAATTCTTTCCTTTTGACGCCTCGTTTCACGCTCTGCCGCAAAGACAGAAGGGGGGAGAAAAACCAATCTGTCAGGCCGAATTCCTTCAAAGGGAACCCCTCAGGATGTGTGGGCACGTTCAGTATGAGGGTACTGGGGAAGTCACGACTGCTAGCATTTCTTCAAAAAACCATCTGTTTGAGTCTGTTTTCTTGAAAAAACCAAACTATTGAAAGGGCTTGTATTTGAATTTTGAGCCGCCTTTAGTCAACTGCTTTTGTAGGAGGGTAAAGACACATGTCACTATTCAAATACTTATTTTTGGAGGAGAGATGTTAAGCAGCCACCTACACCCGGACAAACACAAGTTGAGGATTTCAAATGGAAATGATATGACTCGTGGGCAGAGACGGAGATGAACTGAGCGTGCTAACATGTATTCCCCCCGGCTAGTTTACCCTTGCGGTCAACCGTTGCACCTGTGCCTCGAAAGGCCGGGCCTATCCATTTCACCGGCCGCCCACGCACATGTAAACCCAGACTGGCCGGGGACCGACGCAACAATATCTCGGAATTGTACGAGCTGAGTGGCATTGTTTGGCTCATGATGCTCTTGAGTTTACAGTTTGTGATATTTCACGAGGGATTTTTTCCCTCTGATCTGTGAAAGATTCAGACCAAAAAAAGCGGCAAATGGCCACAGGTCTTGCTCTTCTCACATTTGAATCTATTCCGCTGGCTGGAAAGCTGTGAATTAAGGAGGTGCCTATTTCGCCAAGGAACACCTCACAATCTACACAGCTGAGCTCGGTTAAAAATACAATTGACTTGCACGCTGGGTCGCGGGGGAGGGGTGGAACGTTGGTTTTCATTTTGTCATTTGGGTCGGGGGGGTGGAACGTTGGTTTTCATTTTGTCAAGACAGGATGGCGGGCATTGCCATCAAAGCAATGGCTGTGGAGACTACTGGTTGACAACCTAGTACTTGCACATGTAAATTCCACTGATAAAATTGTTCTTGTTCTGAGCCAAAGAACTATCACAGTAAACTTACTAAGCAGCAATAACGACAACCCTAGAAAGGCGCTAAGCAAGTTTTGGCACTCACAAGCACCCCTTACTTCCATTTTCCCCCATTCACTATATTTCAGTCCCTGCACTGGACTCTTTCTGACATTTTCAGTGCATCCTTATTGGTTTGTAGAGGCTGAAAACAATTTCCCTATTCACAGTCCAAAATATACCCCCCAGAATCGCACAAATTCGTCCGGATCCACTAAGCAGGCGCGACTGCTTGCAAGCTCAATGCTACGCCAATACAATACTCAATGGCAATACAAAGACCGTGCCAGTTCTTCATTATCACAGTGTTCTTCCTCCAAAAGTCTGGACATGGTGTGATGCTGGAGCAGACTCGTTAAGGCCTGCTGGGGCAAGGGCAGCCCTTTATACCCCTCAAAACATGATCTGTGACCTGTGCTAGTGCTGTGCGATATTTCGAAGTGAGGTACCCGAGGAGACACCAGAGAGGGGTGAGGAATCCAGTGGGAGGGTGGTGGGGGGGGGGGGAGCATGCTCCTGTAATTATGCAACTGGTGGCATCCCAGCGGGGATGTGAACCTCAGCCTCTGCTGTTTTAGGGGGCAAGTGGTGCCTCAATGCCCAGTCTTACCTCGTAGGTGGGCGAAGTGAAGATCTTGACCTTCTGCTGGTAGATGGTGAAGGAAGGTGTGAACGTCCCTCCGCTGATGATGGGTATCGTCTCCAGGTGGATCTTCCTCAGCAGTAGCGTTGTGGGCTTGTACTCCAGCTCTTGGTTGATGAGCTGACCGTAGTACTCCACGTATCTCTTCTGCGACGGTATCGTGACACCCTGCAAAATAAAGTGTATATTTATTCATTTATTCCGTTTCTTTACCCAGGGTATGCCCAAACAGTTACAAACTGGGTTTCCATTGGGGCCCTGCGACCATTACAAATTAATAAAATTGTTAGAAACTCACGACGAAAAGTAAAATTGACAAATACGACAAACATTCATATTTACAAATACGGACCACTAAAATATCATACATATGTGAACATAGAAATAATCAAGGCATTAATTAAATACCGATCACGGGATGGCCGAAAACCCTGAAAAAAACGTTGCTGCCAACTGTAGCCTTAGCCCACAGAAAGACCCTGAACGGTAATGTGAACAAATATCCGTCTTTTTGCCCCTCCCCAAACCAAACTTGGCCCTAAAAACTTGGTTCTGGATCCTCTCTTGATTAGGGTTGACATTAGCAACGGATGACTCGGCTTTTGGTGTAACGCTTACTTCCCCAGCTCTATCCTGACACACCTGCTATTCAGGCACCCCATACCTTGCCATTCATAGTCCTTGCTGATGCGTAATGCTGATGAGCCTCCTCGGCCGTTTTGTACAATCCCCGGTGTAGCATGTAGGCACAGATCATCACGCCCGTCCGGCCCTGGACCAAAGAGACCCCCCAACAAGAGCTGGTAACTTTTTCTCAAGCTGCGCGAGGGCAGTTTGGGAATGGGAGAGAACTAAAGAGTAGGCTGGCCGTTCATGATAATTCTTTACACTCTGTTGTCTCTGAACATTGTTCAAGATGGTCTTGAACCAAGACGATATTCCCTCCCTCCCATAAGATATTTATTTTCTTCTGACCGTTTAGCAACATTTAGAAGGAGCAGCCTTCATTGCATTTTCAATCATAGCTGTGTATGTTTTCAGACCAAAACAGCACATGTTATGCTTGCTTCGTCATTTCAGAGAGTCAGGATTTAAACATGTCATTTCATCATCTCTTGTTTGTGGAGCGTAGTTTGCCAAATCCTGGTTGTCGCCCCTCCCCCCCAAAAAAACGTGGCAAACGAAAGTTCTACACTTCAAGAACGACAAAAATTGATCACCACCAGGCTGTCTGTTCAGCACCGGAATATCAGTTTTTAAGGAAGTGACCTGATTCAACCGAACCAGACGGTCTTGCAGGCTACCGGCCAAAACAACAAGCACTGTCTTCTTCTGTACTGCGCACAGTTGCTTTTGAAAAAGGAGTTTCTATTCCCATGTCTTCCACATGAAAACACTTTAAAAATAGGCCTGCAATCCCGTTGGCCCCTTTGCCATTTATGCCGGGGCCACCTGCTTTATGTGTGACCATGTCGCAGCGGTAACGAGTTTAGCAATTAGACTCCAGAGACCTACGGTATGAATTCTGTCTGCATCTCTAGGTCGTATGGAACTCATTAAACAGTGGGGGGGGGGTTAAGTAACAAAGAAAAGCCAGAAAACAGACACTATCATGCAAAAACCTTATTTGCATAGAATACAAGGCTAAGGGTCATAAGTTAACCAGTTCACATTGGTGTATTTGCTTTGTATCCCCCCTGAGCTGAAGTGCACCCCCAATCAGCGAAAGAAAGACAGGTGGTTACAAGCGGGTTCTTGCACGCGTTCTGTGTGTATGCAAAGACCATACATGCCGGAATAAATTAGTTGCGTGAACTCTGCTTGCTCTGCGTGAAACGTGCATATACTTGCAAGCCTCATGATGCATCTATACGGTGAGTACCAAAAAAAATCCCACGCCCTCTTTTGTTCCGCTCGGAACGGATTACTGCAGATTAACCTGATTACCATGGTAACGCTATCACCGGTCATTTGCAGTGGCCCCCATCAATGCTCTTATGCATGATGATGATTTTATATGCGGAGCTACTGTTTCCTGACAGTTGCCCTACACAAATCCCAACTGGATGCTCTCCGCCATTGAACAGGGCCGTCGGGAATGTCCGGGAAAACGTCACCGCATTTGTCTATATACACGCAGGTGATAGCATTGTTGCATTGGTTAATGTGGAAAACGTTTTGTTGGAACGAGGGGGGGGGTCACACCTTGCCCGCTTTGCAGTGTATCGCTGCCACATTCTTATCGCTCTCCGATGCCAGCCACTGGTCCAGATCCTCGCAGAATGGCTTGATGAGCTCAAACCTGGGCGGGTTGTGGTCGTCAAATGGGTAGTTGGCCACCCTGTTGCAAAACTTGGATGCGTCATAATTCCTCTCAGAGCACCTGTTGTTCCAAATGGGAAGGTCAGAAATGACATAGGCCAGAGTTGCCAAAATTTGACGTGACACGTGAGCTGCTTGCATGTTCGCCTGTATTATGTCCACTTTTCTACCTTGAAGATCAGAGTGACACAGTAAAATGAAAACAGTTTCCATCCTTTCTCAGGTTTTCTTTAGAAAACAGTGAAATCAGTGGCACATATTATATTCCTTAAATCTTTGATTATCCATTGTTACATCGCAACAACCTATGACAGACTGTTATCCCGTTTCCCCTCAAAAAAAAACTCAACTGTTATGCCTGAAATATTTTATACATGTACATCTTAGGGTCAGGAGTAAAGCAATTCCAACAACAGCACAGGGTCTTCATTAATCAAAAATGAATAAATTAACCATGTGAAGGGATTTCTGAGATCACATCAGATTTATTTCACAAACCTTTAATTTACTGCTGAATAAGCCTTGAGATTTCCATCTAGTAGCTTTAGGTATGGGCCCAGATATCGCCAAGGGGTATCAGTTTCACAAATTTTACGATGGGAGGGGGTGTTTAAAGACAGTTTTTAACATTCTCCTTGGAAAGGACAGGCAGATCTGTGTATTTTAATCCTACATGCAGATATAACCATGTATCTAAGACACGCATGCACAAATATAAAATCCTCATTACCAGACTTCAAAATCACGAGGAAATTAAAATTTTTGGCTATCACACTGTGCCCCATGCCACCTGCATGTACTGTCATCCGATTTACCATGTTTGGGCAATAAAAACTACAAGCTTCTCTCCTCCCAAAAAACCCTGGGGGACAGACGAAACAAATCCTGCCTACGACAATGTGACCATGGCAACCCTTCATCTAGCATCCCCACCAGAAATACGAACACTTGTCAGATCCAAAAATAGCCCTGATCAGAGGGACTAGAAATATTCTCCCTTTTTGTGTTGGAGGTAAACCCTACTTTGCCAATCAGAAGCCAGGTTCAATTGAGTGCTTCATCGCCCACTTGTCACTGAGGACATTGGGTCTGAGGACCCAATCCCTTTGCTTCCCTTGTGATCCTGCTCTTCCTGTCATCTGAACTTTGTTTACAGAGAGGGAAAAGTTCTCAGAACACCCACTCTTTCCTGGTTTCATCCACCCAGCAATTCCATCTCTGTTCTGAATACAAGATTGCCACAGCTATGGACAGGCAGTGAACATTTTGCTCCCCGAACCTATTTTGTTTTGTGTTGGTTTTTGATTTTTTTAATTACATGTACTTCTATTTTACATCAACTGGAAAGTTTTTGTTTCCTCCTGAACCAGAACTGTGCTGGTATTAACATAAATCATTTGAATTTTTTGGGGAGGGGGGGGGTTGAAATGCACATCAAACAGAGCCAATACTTTCCTACATGTACCAATCTCTGGAAGTTGGAACTCCAAAAATGTGCTGGATAAATTGCTTTGACAGAAGCCAGAAGATGTCTGTGGTCTAATAATCACAGTACTCTGCTTTTCTACTTTGCAGAAAAAATGCCCTTCACAAGTGTGAAAAGTGAAAAGTGTTACTATAAAATTTCAAATAATTTACTTACAAATTGTACACTTTGTAATGTTCACCATGTCTCTCTTCCAAAAATCTGAAAAAGAATTACAGAATTAATGAAAATAGACTGGTCAAGTGCCATTTCTTTTCGATGAGTTATCCTGTTATCCTTTATCCTTTTTTATCCAGAAAAGAAACCGCGCAAATTCAACTTCAGGGCATTAATTGGAATTGATATGCTCATTTTCTAGTATCACTACTGAAAAATGTTTTGACACAGTCTGGCACAATTTCAAGCATTTAGGAATCTGAAAGATGTCCTGACACACATGTAATTCTGCATACACCAGTTCCCTTGACTCTGTTCAATTTCATTGGTTGTTAACAATCTCACTGTCAAACAGGAGAACCAAGATAAAGATAAACTAAGAATGATGACACAAGTTCCCAAGAGATATTTTGCATGAGAATGGCCACCTCTACATGTGTATTTTCATGATTGGCTTGAGGTCACTAGGGCCTTACGACATACATGTACATCAAAGGGGCACAATTGCTGTTCACGCTATTTGATGCAATGCAGAAATGCACTGAAATTCCCGGCTGGCCAACGCATGAGTACATAAACCTCTCACTGAGTCAAATTTCAGGGGAATGGATTAAAAACAAATTGGGGGTAAACAAATTTCAAGTTTAACATTTCTCTTTATTGCAAAAGTTAGTTTCTTTTACTTTTTTATTTTATACTGCAGGAGGCAAGGGGAGTGGGTTAAATTTGCCTTTTAATTTTCCAAAGAATATCTTCTTCAGATTTTTCTCACCACAGGAAAGAGGTTAATTCCTTCTGTAAATGTTCCTGCAAAATTAGTCACCTTGAACAGAAATGGACAGCCCCCCTAAAAGTGGGTACTGAACTGAGCCTATGATCTTGGTAAGGCTTGTGTCAACACTCACCTGACAATCGTCTCAATGTTGTTCCGGTACACGCCTTCCAGCTTCTCTGCAGGGAAGCCCATGGCGATGATGTTGGGATAGATATCTGAGTTGAGGTCCGAGTCAAGGAACCAGACCAGTTTGTATGTATACCACAAGAGAAGGAAATACTCTGAACCACGCCCACTTCCGTCTCACCTTAGTCATGCGGTTGAGTGCTTAAGCTAATGCACATTTCACAAATGGGAAATTTACCAACCAATACAAGTTGACTGTGTGCTTTCCAACGTCCAAATTGTTGTGCTCTAATTTTGCAAGCAGCATTGTTACATTTACATCACACTGCAGAAGAAATGTGTAGCGGGTGCTTGTCGGCTGCAACATGCCACTTGACCTTTGACATCACGACAGAATATTTCCGTATTTATTGTCACTTTTTCTGGGGGGTAATTGACATCATTTGCTAAAATGTGTCAATGAATGAATTTCAGACTGTGCAACAATGCACATGTAACAAAGTTTCCTTTTGGTGATGATGCTGACGGAAATGTTTTCTCCATTGGCGTGGGAGACCGGTTGTTTTCTGGAGATGAAGCATTAAAATCACAAACCGTGGCACTCCGATTTCCACAATGTACTATCAGACGAAACCATCAGTGGAATTCGAAAACCACCGAGGGACCAACCTGACACCAAGCGCCGGAGCTGACTCCCACGCCTGCTCTCTAACCGCTGATATTTGACACCAGAGTGCACATGCTGGCGGCCCAGGCTTGCACTTTAATTAGTTACTTGTGGTTACTTGAGAAAATATTGACAAGGGAGGTTGTTACTATCTGTACAACCCAGTGGTTCTGTTTAGTACATGAACATGTACGTGGGTCATTCCCTGAAGTTCGGGCAGAGTTTGTGATGGCGCCCCTTGTTACATCAGTGGAAATAAACATCTTTTTTCCCTGCACGTGGATTCTAAATTGACATTGTTCTAAATCTTGCTAGGTTCTTGTAGTGGTGTGCTTCATCTTTGCTGAATAATATGAATTAATCTGTTGTAATGTGAAAATAAAGGGCAATAAAAGTTATCGATGTAACAAGGGACGCCGTCACAAACTGTGCCCGATCTTTTCATGGAATGACCCATGTACAATGCCCCAAGGACTGGGGTTAAGAAGTTTGTTATGCGTACATGTCGTTACTGGTATGTTTACCACCTGCAAATACACGTATCAGCAGACTCCAATTTCCCTTGTCTGTAACATTTCCCAACATTATGCAGTCGAGGTTTCATCACATCTCACGACTGCAACGACAGTGCACATGTAGAGTATGTGTGTTTTGTGTAGAGTACGTGTGTTTATGAAAATGTTTCTGAAATTTTTCACAAGATATTGTTGCCTGGTCCATGTTTCAACATGTACTGTTCACTGATGGTGCACATTTGTAATCACAAAACTGCCACTGGGAAATGATACAATGCACATGGTAATGAATGGAAAGGCTGTAGGGACAAAAAAAAAATGAACATAATTTCCAAGAAATTGGAACAATGTAACCCTGCAGCTAGCTGCTTGACCCTGACCCCTCGCACCCACCCTGCTGGGTTTTTGCACTCAGAAAAAAAAAAAGAGAGAGCGAGAGCAAGAGACACCATTTTGATAAAAGAGCCCTTCTTGTCTACCTCTCTGTGTGAGAGGAGAGACCCAGGATGCCCTTGAACTGCCAGGGTGCATTAGGGACCTCAGCAGGTGAGGTAAGAGGGAAGTGATGACAGGCTTGGGGTAGGTTGGGTTTCAGCTCTGGAGGTGAGGTGTGCAGTGGTGCATTTTCAAAAAGGCTGATGTAGACACATCCATGTAACCTTCCATGGAACAGGCATGGCATGTACCGGTACATGTACGTGCATGTAATCAGTGAATAAAAAACATCAGTCCGAAAAATTGTACATGTTATTCAACTCATAGACAACAAAAACATCTTCAGCGTACGATACATTGCCATGTGCCTGAAAGAAGGGCGTCAGCACTTACGCCCTTTTGCTAGGAAGCATGATCACTGCAAGAACATCTTTCCCGGCAAAACGACATATGTATGCCACTGTTTCATTTAAATGAAACATAAAGATTTCTTTGCAAACAGTTAAAAAAAAAATTTCCCAAGTCATTTAATAAGCTGTTCAAAGGTTGGTTTTTGCACAGCCTGTGTTGATTTTGTAGTAAATTTTATCCGTTTTTACTAAATAAAGAGAGTGTGTTTCTTGGGCCCTTTGCCGGGAACATTTTTTCAGTTGAGATCGTGCTTTTCGGCAAAAGGGCATAAGTGCACTTACAACCTTTTGCCGGGCACACGACGACATGTACTTTCTGTTCCCCTTTCTTTTGTCTTCATGACAAAATTTGTACATAAATGAGATGTCTCTCATTTTTAATTCGGCATCAGGCTGGGACAACTCGAAAGCCTTTGAACTTTGTTTCGAGGGAGCCTTTAGGTCAAAAGAAAAAAACTGTAGAGGAAAAAACCCACTCAGGTGTTATGAGGGAGAGCCCACAGAATCCGATAGGGACTGAAAACCCTTATTATACACACATGCGGACCGAGGCAGGATTTGAATGTGGGTCTCAGGTGAAAGGTGAGTTCAACAGGTATGGGCCAACATCACGTACATGTGCGCGCCACTGCGCCAACCTGACTTCCTGAAAATTTTGCACCAGATCTCTTTGGTGAAAATAAGTTACTGCTGCATGCGTGTTGTGCATGTACATGTATATCGTCAATCGATGTCAATGAACCACATCTACTAGGAAATGTGCGTCACCAATGATGTCAAATTATCCATTGCTTCCCTGTTATAAATGCACGCAATAATGAGTCACGAAAATATTGTGTAAACTTTTTCAGCTGTTTTTGAGAAGACTTTCAGAAACCGAAAAAACTCTCTTTTTGATCTGTATCTGTTTTGAAGGCCCTTGAAGTAGATACATACATGTACCCTTCATGTACATTTACAGCATATAAATGAACATGCAGCATGTAATTTGCTTCAGACGTACAGGTACGTGTACATTGTAAATTGGTGGAATTTGCAATACTTCAAAGGATACTTTTTCTAAGGTACATGTACAGGTATAACCATGTTTGCCTATTAAGATGAAAGTACCGTGCGATTTATGTGTATTAACAATGCACAAGCACAAGTGACTGTGCATATTCCTTGTAACTGGTACACGGTAGGCCAACATGCCTATGGGGATCAAGTTCACTGTTTTGTCAATACGCCACACACGCACGTAAACAAAAACTTTCAACAGGGTTTACATGCATGTGCCCTGTGGTGTGTTTTCTTTGTTCTCGTGTACAAAACTCCCACACAACAAGCACAAATTTTCAAATCACTCCCATCTGAACCAGATTCACTTTCCTACTTTGGAAATTCGACCCAACGTCCCTCATTTAAAATACTTCATTATGTGACAGATGAACGGCACTTGAAAATTCCTCCTATTTGAGTAAATTTGAAATATCTATTTCGTGAAATTCTTGTGGGGTACCACTTTTCGTACCCCACAAGGTCAAAACTGGACTTGTGGGATACCTTCCATTGTTTCAGTGCCCCACAAGTCCCTCTATACATGTTCCCTGTATGATGCAAACTTTATACAGGACGTCTATTATAGAATGGGAAGTATATTGGCACACACATGTACATGTATATTGTACATGTACACGTACTACCAGGACACACGTATTTTGTGCTTCTTCACATGTATTACGTGAAATCCTCTAACTGTGCCACAATATCCTGTGAAGACATCAGCAAAAGGAAGCAATGCTGGGCTCACATGACTCCCCCCTGCGGATCTCTGGTTTAGATTCTGGGATTCGGTTTCGGTCGGGGGTCAGGGTGAAGAAGGGTTGGATCTTCCACCTGCCCTGTGAAGCCGGGAGAGTAGTGTTGCACATGCTGGATCACTTTACAGATATTGGCACAGAAATTTTTGCGGTCACTATCTTTTGACAAAAAAGTTTATCGGTTCATCGTGGCTCAGACATGAATCGACAAGGGTGGACGTATGCAGGAACGCATGCATACACATTTACAATACATGAACGTGTAATGTGACCGCCTGCCGTCAGAGTTTATCACAATCGAGTGCACTGCACTAACATTATCTGGGAAAAATCAACCTACATGTATTTACACCAATATTTCACAGAACCTATTAGGGGAGGGGTGTTGAATGCTTTCAGGGCATTGCTGCTTCTTTATCAAAGGTTACAGGCTTCAGATGACAAATAAATGTGTACTGTACCCTGCATACATCTCTTTGAAGTCAATTTCTGCTACACGGGCTCACTTTCATGTAAGATGCAATTTGTTGCTATTTCTTGTGAATTCTGCCTGAAGTTGCCTAATAGCCAAGTCTACAGTGCCTGTACCATCCTATGGCAAATGTTACGTTACCGGGGCAATTCTGTCACCCTTGGATACCGGTGATAATCAGCCCTGACCAAAGGCTGCCGCTGAACGCAGGCCTGCTGTTGAGCTTACAACCATGCTCTATGTCCCATGTACAGTACTGTACCATATTACTGGAGTGCAGTAATGTTCCTGCATTATGAAGTACATACATGAAGTTGATTAATGTACATGCATGTACATTAATCTGTCTGCGCCAACATATCTTAATCTACATGTACTGGAGCATTCTGACACATCATATCTGACATACATGTATGATTTAAAGTTTAAAACACATAATTTAACTTCCGAGACTGATTAAATTAAGTGATGCATATTACATGTACCTGCTCAACAAATTGAAAATAGTCTGAAGCCAATTTTATTACACATGTCAAACTGCAAACATGTCACTGCAGGGATGCAAAAGGTTTTCTGTTGGACCCCAAATTTGTAAAGTTACAGACTGACCCACACTGCAAGAGAGTTAAGTGCACTGGCGCTGCACCAACCCATGCAGTCTGTGAGCAAATAACAACATACATGTACATGGACCACTGCAACAGTTTCAATTCCTACATTTTGTTCAAGTTAGTTTTCAAAATTAAAAAAAAAAAGGCTTTCGAAAGTAAGAAAGAAAAAGCCACTAA